CGCCGCTCGGCCTGAGCCCGCTGCGCCTGGCCTACTCGGCGGCGGCAGCCCACAGCCGCGGCCTGGCCTTCATGGCGCCCTACTCCACCGCCGGCCTGGTGCCCACGCTCGGCTTCCGGCCGCCCATGGACTACGCCTTCAGCGACCTCATGCGCGACCGCTCGGCCGCCGCCGCCGCCGCGGTGCACAAGGAGCCGGGCTACGGGAGCGGGCTGTACGGGCCCATGGTCAATGGCACCCCCGAGAAGCAGTAGGACACGGGCCCCCCCCGCAGCCCGGCGGCCCCCAAACACTGACCCAGCCTGCTGCCCAGCCCCCCGCCCCTCCTCGCCCTGCCCCGCGCCCTCCGCTCAGAGTTGGCCTTGGGGATTTGTTTTGAGGGGTGGGTGGGAGCACCTCGGCTAACCGCGCAGGTGTTCTCAGAGGGGCCTTGGGGTCCGGGTGCTCGTCCAGCCTCGGGCCACCTCCCCCCAGGCCCGCTCCCCCTGTGGCCCAAAGGCCGGGGATGTCTAAGAATCCCGAGGCCGGCTGCGGCCGCGCCTGCCCCTGCTGCTCCCTCCGCTCCGCTCGCCTTGCCAGCCCGCGCTCAAGGTGGATGGCAGGACAAATCAGCCTCTCGTGTGTGTCCTCCAGTCCCCACTCCCCTTTCATTAAAAAAAAAAAAATCCGCTCTAACAAATATAAATTTAGGATGTATACATCTCTTGCCACTGAGTCGAGTCTTTGGGGCACACATATATATCGATATCAATTGTAAAAAAAAAAAAAAAAGGAAACGTTCTAAGGTGCACTTTCCTCGTTGCGGTATTTGTCGCTCTCTTTGTTGCTTATGCCGATAAGCATGGGTTTCCTTGGTGCAGTGTGAGTTTTTATATATGTATAAATCTATATATAAGCTATACATATATATATACAAGCCAGTGTATAATGTTATAAAATGGAATTCTAAGTTAATTGTAATCTGTAGGTGACCTCGGTATTAACGTGAAAAACATTCAAAATCAAAGCAAAACAACAAAAAAAAAAAGGACAAACTGGGAAAATTAGACTATTCGCGCATTGTACGTATGGGGTTTTATAGATGAGATCTACTGTAAGCTGGGGAGGAACCCTGCCCGCCCCCTGCCCCTGGCCTGCAGCTGCTCTCCGGAGCGGGCCAGCACAAGCTGGAGCACGACTGAGCGTCGGGTGACAGAGCCGGAAGCTCCGGGACTCGGCAGCCAGCGACGCTGCGGAGAACTGCTCACTTTGTGCTTTCCCTTGCATAGGTATGAGCTAGAAATAAATGTTATTTTCTAAATAAAGCGACGCTCGAATCCCATTCGCTCCTCTGGCGGCTGGGAAGAAAAGCTTTTAATTTCCCACTGGGGCTGAGGTGCCCGGGAGCTGCGGATCGCGCCTGTGCCAGGACCCTGGAGGGACCCAGACAGGAAGCTGCGGGTGGCCCCTGGGACAGGCGCGGGGGTGGGGTCGCGTCTGGAAACTTCGGAAGAGGCTCCTCGAGGGCAGGATGAGCGTGCTGACCTCGCGCCCAGGCCCCGAGTCGCCTGGCCAGGCACAGGTTCCCGCCCGGCACCCACGCAGAGCCTGGGGCTCTTCCTCCGCAGGTGTCCGCACCAAAGGCCGAGCCTCGGGATCGTCCCCCGCGGGTGTCCGCACCGCGGGCTGCGCCTCTGTTCCCCACCTCCCCACCCCGCAGGTTCTGGCCCGGCCTCGGGCTCTTCCCGGCACTCTTGGCTTTGGCTTTGGAGGCCAGGGCGCTGGACGCCGCGGCTTGGAGGCGGCCTTCGACACTTCTCCTGCCAGGGCCTGCGGCCTGGGAGTTATTGGGAAGCGTGGGATGCCACTTTCTCCCGAGGCGTGTACTGAGTGGAAGCGAGGACGCCCCTTCGGGCAGAGCCACCGAGCACCCCTTTTGTGAAGTAGCTGCCCCATCTTCGACCTCCACATCCCTCCCTCCTGCTCTCCCGCAGGGTCACTCCTCCACTCCAGGAAATAGGGTGCCCCCTCCCTCAGACTGGGCCCGGAGACATCCCAAGGTAAACTTCTGGGGCAGGCTCGAGTTCCGCCAGGCGGTGAAACTTAATAGCAGGACAAGAAAACGGTTTAATAAAGAAGGGCTTTAATAGGGAACTAATTTGATTGAGTTGCCTAATTCCACTTTAATTGGAAAGGGGGTTTGGCTGTTTGGTTATAAAGTGTGAGGGTGACGATGAGATGGAAGGAGGAGGGGGGTGAGAGAAGAAAGATGCGGGCAAGAAAGGGATGAGTCCGGAGAAAGAACGAAGGTGCAGGGGTTAAGTGAAAGGGGGAAGTTAGGAAAATAGAGGACCGGGGAACCGAGTGCGCAGGAGCTCCCAGCAAACCCCGGCCGCTGTCCGCTCAAGCCTTCCATCCTCTCCCACTCCAGCTTTCCCAAGGCCTCCAGGCCTACTGCTCTCAGCCCGGCAGCTCCCACCGCCACCCCAGGTTTCTGCCGGGACCGCAGGGCAGCCGGAAGGAGAAGCTAAGATCTGCAGGCTCCCTGGGTTTCAGGAGCGACCTACACTAGGTCCCCTGAAGCGCCTGGATTGCTGCCGGTGTTCAGGTCAAATTCAAGCAGGGAAGCTCCAGTTCATTCCCAAGAATAATTGGGCCTCGAGAGTTTCGAGATGGTTATTTTTAGTTCGCCCTCAGTGAAGTTCGCCCTAATGCCCTATTTTACGAAGGAGGAAACATGTCATGAAGACTAGTGTCAGGATCTCCCCTCCACGATCCCCGTGGGTCTGCTTTTCTCTTAGATCTTTGCACACAGCTGGCTTTGCTGGCATACGGTGGAGGTGGGGATGCAGGAACATCCTTTCGAGGCTTGTCCGGAAGACACAGGTAGCGGTTTCCCTAAGCTGGGCCCGCCAGCACCCAGCTAGAGCTCAGGAATGGGTCGCTAGCAGAGGGAATCCGAGCAGTGGGTACTGAAAACTCCCTGGTGTGGCTCATCTTAGTGGCTCAGGCCCGGTCCTGAAACCCAGAGCAGTCAATCACAGCCTGGCAAAGTCCTGCTAAGGTGGTTGTGTCTCTGACCCACAACTCAACCTACTGCGCAGTCTGGAAGAGCGATATCGAGACTCGTGATGAAAGGCCTGGAGGAACCCAGTTCAGAGCCTAGGTTACTCCCACTGGGGTGTCTCCTGGCAGAGGAATGGGCGGCTGGGGCAAGCCAGTGACCAGGCTCCTATGCCCTTTCTAGTGTCTGCAGCTGGGACACACCAGGCCGCGGGTCCCTAGGCCCTGTTTGAGAGCCAGCACCAACATAGGAGAAAGCGCGTTGGACTCCCTTTCCTGATTTCGGTTGTCCACGTCTATTCTCAAATTCTCAGGAAGCCAGTTGGAACCGGCTCTGGCCTGGGCACTAGGAAGACTCAGACCCCTGCCACTGCGGCTAGCTCAGGCTGGTGGGGAGACAGCTTCTGGGAAATCGCAGTTTTAAAATTCTCATCTTCTTCCTCCTCCACTACCGCTCACTACTCAGTGCCTAATGTTTGCCCCAGGCAGCTGAGAAGGTGTCAAGAGCTGGCATCCACGGTCAACCACCGGCTAGAGTTATTCAACACCCATACAAAGTATGCACTCTAGCTGTATGCTAGATCCAGTTACAGGACCGAGTTTACAAAGTGTATGTCTGAGACCATCGGTTGGTGATGAAGCTACACTTGTAACTGAAACCATGAGGAGAGTCACTTCACTCTGCTGAGAGGCCTCAGGGAGGCTGCCCCAGGGAGGCAAGAGAGGCCAGGTGCTTAACCTGGCTGCCACCTCTATTAAGTGGTGAGAATGGTATAGTCTGTTTCGCTGGGCACTGTGAGGAGTAAATAATGTGTAAAAAGCTCTTAGCTTGGTGCTTGTTCACTATTATGATTCTCATATCCTTTGGTGTGGGTATTGTCAAATGTAAAAGAAAACCAGCTCCTCAGAAGGACTGGACGACAGGAGAAAGCTGCACTCCTAAGTCTTGAGTGTCCTGTATTATGGAAGACACTTTGCCCAGATCCACCGGGACCATGGAGGGTGATTCTGGAACCAGCTCTAAGGGGAGATGAACCTGGACACGGCACCACTAGGCATCAGTGTAACCTGGTTAGAAGTTGGTGAAGGACTCAGGACTAGGCAGAGGGTCTATAGAGACTAAACAGAGGTCGAATAATAGAGCACCAGTGAGTCTCGGCCTGAGGAGTCCGAGGATGTGGGTTTTAGAGCGAGGGCCAGAGAGCTGTGGGCGGCAGAGAGGGAGAGGCATGTGCGTTTGGTAGATTCTCTGGAGAATGGACAAACTGTCTGAGGAGAAGACATGAAAACTGATAGTGCTAAAAAATGCCCCATGGGAGTAGGCAGGTGGCTGCTGAGGAACAGCTTTCCCGGCTGGTCCCAGCTTGAGGTGTGTGTGTGTGGGGGGGGGCGCTACCTGGAGGATTCCCAGGTGTGTGGGCAGGGAAGGGCAGTTAGTGCTATGAGCCCCTCAAGCAGAGGCAAGATTGGATGGTGAGAGGAAATGTTTGTTGTTCTACATACAGTCTGAAAGACTTGCAGATTATCTGGGGGTGGGAAGGTAGAGAAAGTCAACGAGGGGCTGGACTGAAGCAGGGGCTGGGAGGAGGAAGAGGCCGAGACTCCCTCCAGAAATATTCTATCCGAGGCTATGGGTGTGGGGTAGATGTGGAGGTACCACCTCTCACTATTTCTGTTCATGCCAAGAGAAATGGCCTCTTACAATCATTCTCCTGGCGCTTTGTACCCTATGGAGGCCACCCTTCTGGGAGGACCCTGGGCAGCCCTCCCTGGACTTACTGGGGGCTCCTCATGTGCATGGAAACTCCCGTTCAACCCTCTGCCCTGTACTTACTCTGATCCTTTCACACCAGCTGCTCTTCTCTCCTCCCTCCTTGTCCCTGGGCCTCTGCACCCCAGACACTCCAAGCTCCTCAGACTCACCCAACACATGGCCCACTACCCATTTTTGTACCCAGAAGTCCCTCTGCTTGGAAAGCCCTTCTGAGTACCCCTTATTCTAAGGACTTCCCTCAACCCCTCTGAGCCTCAGTTTCTCAGGGAGATTTATGATGACACTAATAATGCTTAAGCCTTGGGGCTCCTCACCCAGGCAGGTCCCTCTCAGGGTCTTAGCTGTACATGTGCCAAATGACTTCTGTTTCCCTGAGCTTCTATTCCCACCAAAAAGTCTATCAATCACTGCCCAATTTAGTGCAGTTAGGAAGACCTGCTCCTGTCTTTTCCTTTGTTGCGTAGTAAATGTCCCCAAATTTAATAGCTTAAAACAAGAAACATCTTATCTTCTTAGGATTCTGTGGGTATGGAATTTGGTCCAGTCATGGCTAGGGCATTTTTTGCTCCATGTATTGTAGATTGACATATTCTGGTGGTGTTAGGCTGGTGGGTGTGTTGCTCTGGATGCTCTGAGACAGTGACAGTCATTGTCTGATGCCACGGTATGGATGGCAGGAAGGCTGTGGCTGGGCACCAGTATATAGTCCTTCGCTCAGGGTGGCCTCAGGGTGTCTGTCGGACCTCTCGTGGTTCTGAGGCTGTGTGGCCGTTTATAACCTAACATTTACAGGTCAGAAACTATGACAAGATTGTTATCTGCGAGTGACGTATCAGCAAGGTCACACTGAGTTAAAATGATTTAGTCTTTCTTTTCCCTTTTCTCCTCCTCCTCCTTTGTGAAATTGTAAAACTAAATGTCCCAGGTGCATTTTAGGAACACGAGCCAGCTGCTCACATGCTGTCAGCTGAGCGGTTCTCTGTACATTTCAGATAAGCTATACTCCAGGGTATCAGGCAGCCTTTCCAAATGAAGAGAGGAAGGCTTGTCATGGCTGCCAGTGGCTCCAGGCTTACGTTCACCTTCCCTGTCACATATTTGAATAAACCATCCTGGAGCTGACTCATTGTGAATACTTTGTACCCTGTCTTCTCCAGGACCAGTTTCATGACTGCAAGTTTGGGGCTAATCCATGGTCTCGCCTCTGAAGAGGGACAGTTTGCCCTAACCAAACCACCGAAGCCAATAGTTAGGATAAATGGTTCTTCAGAAGAAAACCGGCTGCCTTTGGAGGAGCAGGTTGGGGTGTCTATAGCTATTACATGGACCAGCGCTACCAGAGCTCAGGTACCCAGGCTTCTGCAGGGGAGGGAGCCTGCTGGAAACCCACGCCTTGAGGACTACTGAACATCTGCTCATTCCAGCCCTAAATTCCAGTCCTTGTTTTAGCACAGTGTTTACAGTCTTCCTAATTCTGCAGACCCTTTA